AAATTAAGCATAAAACCCAATGCAATTGCTGACTAGAATAAACGGGTTTGGCCTTATATTACCTACGACAGCAGCATTTTTTCTGCGTCCTAAATCATGAACATTTGGCTATATTTTAACCATGTTGATGATTCAATCAATACTCTTTCTTTGTAGTGTTCTAAATAGTTTCCTTAGAATCATTCCTTTACAGAGGTTTTTTGCAGAATTCCCCTAACATTAACATTAGATTCTCTTTGATAATTTTCTGAAGAACACTCCAAAGATTATTGGATTTCACTCCAAGATTTTTTAAATTTTTTGATGCTTCTCCCAAGAATTTTCTGAAGCTTCCTTTCACAATTATTTCTTCTCAGAATTCTTCTGAAATGTCTTCAAAATCTGCACAAAATAGTCTCAGCTGTATACTTCTGAAAATTCAGGTGGAATTCACCATAGAATTATCTTGAAATACTTCTCCGTATGTTCTTGATATTATCCTGGGAATTTCCTTCAAACTGATATCATAACTTCATGGCAATCGTAGCCTCAAAATTCGATTCTCTTGGTATGTTTTTCCAAATTTCCTTAGAATTGTCTATAGAATCCACTTGGACTTATCTTCAAAACTTCCTTTGAATTAGGGCCCGTAATTATGGAACTATCATCATAATTCAACAGCCTCAAAGTACTTCCAAGAATTCCCTAGGAACCCTCATCAAAACTCTCTTGAAATTATTCTCAAAATTTACATGGAATATCTATTAAAATTTGACTTGATACCCTCCTCACAATCATCATGGATCAGCTTAAAATTCCACTCAGATCTTCTATAAATTTCACCTAGAGCTCTTCTCACAATCACCTAAGAATTTTGTTCACTCCAACGCAAGAGTTCTAATCATAACTCCTTGACATCCCTAGAATTCTTTCTAAATGCTCCTAATTCTTCAAAGTGATAAAATCCTGAAAAACAAACCAAGGCCTTAACAACCAGAATCCTGGAGAAAGGACAAAAAATGCTTTTTTTTTACCCGATACTCCACGTTTTTCCTATTTTACAATTCACTGGTCGTCAGCCTGATTCATGGTTACATGGATACAAACCTGATGATACTTATTACATAACATGATAATAATCTGAAAACAACCGAATCAAGGTCAGCCTTACTATTTTCCAGAAACGAATTTGCCCACTGTTAACATATTTTCACCAAGCCAGCTTAAAAATAGAACACACTATATTTTGACAGCACACAATTTTGTTTTTCTCGTTAAGTGATTCTTATGTAAAAATGTCTGCTGAAAACTTGGTTGCCATCAAAATATTAAAAAATAGAGGGCATTTCGATTAACTTGCATTTAAATTTTTCAAATGAAGAAATCGCAGAGTTGGCAACACTATAGAAAAACTACTATCACAAAATATGAATTTACGTTCAAAATTTTTCAAAAAAGTTACTCAATGTCGTTTGTATCTTTATTGGTACCAGAGATATGTAAAAATTAAAATTGGAGTTCACTAAAAAATGGCCAAAAGGATTGAAGAAGACTATAATGCCGGGGGTAGACCGATAGGCATAAAACCTTGGAGTTTTTAGTTTTAGCCTAAAATAAGAAGACCCACCACTTTTGATTCAAACCGGAGTGTGAGAGTTTCCGGAGATCCCTCCCTGGGATCCAAATTTTTTTTAAGTAGGACTACGTCTTTGTGGACTATACTGGGGTGCAAATCAAAAAAAAAAATGTGTAACGAAATAGTGTTAGCTTTTAAACGGTTATAACTTGGCCATTTATCGATGGATTTAACTTATTTTCACACCCTTTGATTCAGAATTGATATAAGAGTTGTTTGGAATAAAGATAATAGTAATTCATTACAAGTAAACTATTGAAAATCGATCAAACTTTCAGGCCACAACCAACCAATCACGTGCGCGCTTGCCATGACTATCAATAGAACAGAGAGAAACGACCGGTTGCGAGGTTATAAAAGCGTTTTTCTGTACGTTTTGCTTCAGATCGTTTGGAGATTGATGGTTGTCAAATCCTTAAACGCCGTAAACGACCGATGAGACTATCTCAAAATTGAGTAGAATTTCTATCAAAATAGTAAAAAGTGAGTACAACTATCCTCAAAAATCCGCTAGACAAAAATAAAAGAAAAATGTACGTTTTTTAAGTCATAAGTACACTAGTACACGGCCAATGAGATTCACTCAAAATTGAATCGAATTTGTCTTCATTAGTGAATGAGACAATTTTTCCTCGATTTTCTAGTAAAAACTTCTTGAATACCGTAGAACCCCGTTGAATAGCTAAAACTGCATTTAAACGGCGCGCACTTTGAAATTGTTTAAAGGGTATTCATCCCTATAGTGCCCAATGTGATGCAATTGTGAGTTGAATTCAACTCAGGTATTGAGTTACTTTTATCGGCCTGGATAATTTTTTTCTCAATTTTCGTCATTTCAAATTTGACTCACTCAGTGAGTAACACCACTTTCACGATTTTAAGTGAAAAGTTCATGGTGGTTAGAACTGGTAACCCTCCAGGGTAACCAGTTATTGAAAAAAAAAGATTATTTATTTCCTACAAAGGCGCAAAGGGTAATTCTAAATGAGTAACCAGTTCCAAATTTACCATGACATCACTGGGTTGCGGTCTTCATCATAGCTGTTCAGATGCATAAGGCTTATTGGAAGGTGAACAGTTGAGTTCATAATTCGTCTTCCAGGTGGCACTATTATATTATTTCCTTAACTTGATATCCCAAGTAACATTGCAAGTTTTATCGAGGTTTTGAAGCATGATATAAGTCTAAATCATGGTCTACAGAACCCTCATAAAACCAAAATTGTTACTTGGGATCTTGCGTAGATAAAAGGTTTCTGTCTTTGGAAAAGATTTTAAGTGCAAGAGACTTATTGGATTGTGTACATCACACTAGAGTATACTTTTTTATTTCTTATTGCAAGCATACCATTTCACTTCTTATTGCTTTAACTTGCGACTTCGACTAGATAGAAGGTAGCCGTGTTGGGAAAAGTTGTTTTGATGAATAAGACCTATTCGATGATGGACAGCTCAATTCAGAATTCACTCACCATGGTAGTGTGCAATTTGACATCATATTGCTTGCTTTAACTTGACAGTACGACTAGATAGAAGTTTGTTGTCTTCAGTTCTGTATGACAAAACCTATCGTATCTCACTCGAAAAAATCACTTAACACCAGGGTTACTTCCACTTACTTGTTACAAAAAAATGTTTTTCTGAATTATGAAAACATTAGATATTATAATAATAATTAGTACTTGTAAGTTACAAGAAGAGGTCGTGAAGAATGTGTTTGACACATACAACCTGTCAATATTGCTTTCATTGCGACACAATCAGCAATTTAACGATTCATGAGCGCTCACTCTGATTGAACGCTCACGAATCATAAGATCGCTGATTGTGACGCTCTGATAGCGAAATTGACAGGTTTTATGAGACAAACACATAATTTACACCCTCTTCTTGTTACTTAGAAGTACAACATAGCATTAAATCATCGAATGATTTCAAAATTCCGAAAAACATTGTTTTATAGCAAGTGAGTGGAAGCAACCCTGCTTAACACTAGTGCCATTTGATACTAATGGCTTTCTTAAATCGGCATCTCGACTAGATAAAAGTTTGCTATCAACACGACCTATTGTATAGTAGACAGCTTAGTTCTTAATTATCACTGAAAAGTTCGAAGGTACGTTTGATTGAGATGAATTTCGCGTCTTTTATGACTCAATCAAATGTCAAAAATGACGCTCGTATATGTCAGTCTCAGAGCACCTATACTTTAATATTTTTTTCTAAGTGTGTATGTCAATACGAAAAAAATTAATTGACGTTAAATTTATTGAATTGCAGCGTTCGATATTTGATAGATTTTTGTTTGAACACAGATAAAAGACAATCTCGAATGAGATTCAGTTTATATGTCATAATTTTGCAACATTGAAGTGTAATAATGTGGTGTAACGTACTTAAATGTATTTTATACAGATTTGTTATATGAAATGCATTTTAAAAAGCGACATACTATTGTACATGTTTGGAACCTAATTTTGAATGGAATAGGAACTGAGTTTTGAAATATGAAAATTGAATTCAATAAAGGATATTAAATGTTCCCATATTTAAATTTGATTATTTTTGAATAAATTTTTTAAATCAATCATTTTGCAATTAATAATGAAATCAAGTAATAAAACAATCTCGTAGCCCTACGCAGTGCTGAGATTTGTCATTGTCATTGACAGACTTTCGCGCGATATTGACAAAATTGTATTTCACATGGTCACTGACAGACTTGATCCTCAAAAATCCTTCGTCAAAATCTCATTCATTTTTTAATCAATGACAAAGATTCATTTGGTAACCAAAAGTGTTATTTCGTGCATTCTGTGTCACATTATTTTTTATCCAAGCAGTTCGGGATGTAGATGCTTGTTCACTTTAACGGCTCCATGTAATTGTGTTGCTCAAGTCATTAGATTTCGTTACAAATTTAGTTAATAAAACAAAATATAAACATGTTGGTCACTGACAGCATTGTCATTGACAATTGACATGGTTTGCCTTGATGATGACTGTTAACTCAAATGAGTGACCAAGGCAGAATTGTCAATATCACCGTGTATTGTCGAGATTTTGCAGCACTGGTCCTACGTCTATAATGCGGTCGTGCTTGGGACACAACCCTTAACTATTTAATATTGTGGCTTCAAGTCTCTTAAAGTAATCTGTAGATGTTATTGCTCTGTCACTTGATATGGACTGACCCATACGCTAATCATCTGCAAATTCAACTATGAGTTACCAACCCCCCCCCCCCTCCCCTGCCCAAAAACGACAAGCATGTCCGTAGCAATCCTTTGCCATAAATCAATCTTCTCAATCTGTCGACGCGTTAACCGATAAACCCATCAATCAAGCGAATGTAACCATTTAACTAGATACTAAATGGGCTCACCTTTTGCCATTCGGACAGCAACTGGACGACGATCGATGTCCGTTATGGGCAATCGTTCTGGGCCAAATCCGTCCCGTGTGATTTCCTCCCGGTCCTGGACAAATATTACATCATCTGCCTCCAGACAAATAGCTAGACACAGATACTGACAGGCGGACGAGAATCACCGTGCTTCGTCTTCTTCTTCTTCTTTTTTAGGTCACTGAAGCCTGGCACAGATACTCACTAACATTCAACGGTATGTAGTAGACATCTATTGCACTATAGCGCTAGGAGCCATCCGTAACAATAACGAACCTATAGGATGGATGATGGTTATGGCTCCATATAAACACACAATAAATCACCACCATCGGCTTCAATCGAGCGTGCACTGATTTCGATCACTGGGACTGGGATTCTATATTTTTTTTCTGGCCTACGGGCAACTTCCAACAATGGTCGGGTGAAATCTTCTATACAGCAGCAGTCACAACATTCAACCCACTGAGCGATATCATTCGTTACACAGGCCACCTTTTTCCACCTGCTCTATGATAGTGTGATTCTTCTTTGTTCATCAATTTTTTTTTAGATATTTTTCACCGGATTTTGTTCAAATCTCTGGCCTGGATGAAGGTGTTGATGGAGATTGTCAACCCTCACGGATATACTTCGTTTGATTGGAAAAGTATAAACGGGATTATGGAGTTCTCAGGTTTTAATTTAAGATTAAATGGCATTCAGTGAAATGACACAAATGCTGTTAAATGTCCTTGGATGCTACAATTTATTACCTACCAAGACGGAATTGGTGATGCAAATGATAGCATTCAGTACCCAATATCCGGTCGTTATTAAACTTTTTCAGGTTCTTGAATTTCCAAACTCCTTTCCCATTCAGCTGTCTGCCATCACCTTCACTACCGAGAGCCAACGTCCGGTACGTTTCAATCAACTATTCGTATTTTTCTTGCATTTCCAATCGCTCCTTTCCCGTATGCCTGAAGGGCAATAATGGTGATCAATTTCCGTTTTTGTATTATTCTCGATATATATTCAATATTTTCACTGCTACGTCTGCCACTTTCTTCGCTCAAAAGCAATCAATTTTCACAAATATTATTCTTCGGTGAACTTTTCCTTGCGGCAGCTTCGATTCTCCACTTTGATGCCAACCTAACCATCAGCATTGACTCGACGATCGTCGACAGTCACGAAATCCACTTGATGACAGCAAAAGATCAGTAGGTAGCAGCGGTCGGGAACTTGTGAAAACAGAAATCTCCTGAAATATTCACTTTTGCACTCTTTTGATCCATTTGCTCTGGTTGTATTTTTTTTTTGTTTCTTCAAATTTGGTAGTTTGGTGTGTAACTTTCCCACCGTGTCGTTGCATTTACTTCAAAAAGTGCAAATGAGCCAGAGGTTGCACTTCGCGGAACTTCAATTACAGTTCAGTGTCGATGCTGCACGGAGGAGGGGAAGAAAGAAGAGAAACAGCATGGAATGGGTTGTTGTAGAATTGCGATTGCGAAATTAAATATTCTCTCTGCCTAGCACAGCGTGGCACGGCGAAAAGCACAGCGAGTGTCCGAGAGCAATTGATTAATATTTTAATATTTCTTGTGTTATTGCTCGATTTCGTATTCATGAAGCGTGCTACTGTTGCCGTGCTGCTGCAGCTACTTTTTGCTACTACTATAGAGCGCAAGAAGAGGATACTTTGTCTTTTGTACTAGGTTGTTGGCTGCCTGGTTGGATGTTTGGTGTCAAAATAGGGTGGAAATTGGGCAAAAGGAAATAAGGGTCAGTTGTGAATTCTGTAGTATTCAAATTGAATTTTTAATTTTGGTTACGCTTGTGAAAGCTAATTAATATATTCTTCATTGGGTGACCAGAGAGAATTTTATTTTAGGAACATAAGAAAAGGAATAGAGACTGCAAATCGGGTGCAAAAAAGAGCTTCGATCTGACAGAAGCTGACCGGTACCTATCATAGTAGCTATGTTTATAGTCTGGCAAATATAACTTTGTTCTATCCAAAATCAGAACCAATTCAATATATTGTAGACCAACAATTAAAAAGGTATTATCAACTTTTATTAACAAAACATTGATAGTTCATTCCTCGCCGACCAAACGTAAATTAACAGCAACATCGGATAGGGGAAACATTCCCTAATAGTACGTACAGAGTTATAACATGTTATAACGGTTGTCAAATAGTTGCAACAACGACGCCGGTGGTGTAGTGGTAAGCGTGATTACCTCTCACCCCAGCAGGCCTGGGTTCAATCCCAGTCGGCGCCACCGGGATGTTCTGAGGCATAACATCTCTGATCACGACGAAGTAAAGCCGTTGGTCCTCTGTTCATGAGTTGATGGGTCGATAGGTAGGGTCCAGGTGTGGGAGTTGCCTCCCTGGCGTCGGTAGCATTGGTGCTCAGCACGAAAAACAAGATCGACGGAAAACAAATCAAAGAAAAAAAAAATAGTTGCAACACAGAAACCGCCCTCAAGATAGCGCTATAACATGTTATAACTCTGTAGTCTGAACAAGGCATAACCCGATTATGGTGTTGGTTTGCGTAGACGAGCCTTGAGTCATGGGAAAAGGGTTGCTCTTTATAGCGACAATATTACCTATACATTAATATTAACAAAACCGCCAAGCAGCCGGTTTCATCAGAGGAGTTGATCAAGTTTGCCCACCGGATCAATGCATCGAATTGGGCAAATCAAATCTGAACGAATTAGCCTCAACATCAATCTTATGAGTTGATTGAGCATCCGTCTGGGGAACTAATCGTGAATTTACGGGCGTTCAAGGAGGCCTCGCAAGACGACGTATAGGTGATGTCCACAGTTCCAGCTCCAGTGGGTGAAATATGAACAGTTTCGATGAAGCTAAATAGAACATGGTAAACGTGTTTCACGAAGATAGCTTCTTTAGGTACACTGACCCCACAATTATGCATGATCAGCTAAAAATAATTATGGATCTGTCAGTCTAGCGTGTTAATCAAATGGAGGTGATCCACAATTGTTGGGGTTGACATAAAGGATGACACGTAAAAAAACATGTCATGTAAAATTAAGTGCTCCCAGACTGAAAAGTTCGAAATTACGTTTGATTGAATTGAATTTAGCGTCTATTATGACTTAATTTTATGTCAACATTGACGCTCGCATATGTCAGTCTCAGAGCACCTAAATTTACATCAATTTTTCTTAGAGTGTAGATTTAACATCAATAAAAACTTTAAGAGAAGTTCAGAGATATATTTTGGGAGGACTTCTTAGCAGTTCTAGATGAACTTCAGGAAAGTTAAAAAAAATTTGGAAAGGAGCGGGGGACTAAAGATATGTTCCGGAACTGCATTATCTGACAGCTTTTGGACAATAGTAAGGGAACTTAACAGACCTCCGAAAGGAATTGAGAGGTGTTGTGAGGAAAGTTCCGAGGGAACTGCTTAAAAATTCCAGCAATTTTTAAGAAAACTGCTCAAAACTTCCCAGCATTTCACGAAGAAGTTCCAAGAAGTTTCCTTGGAACTGCCCATAAATTCCATTTCAGCTTCCCAGAAGTTGAAACTTCCCAAAAAATGTTTTAGGGTTCTCTAAAGTAAAATTCCTCGAAACTTCAATGCACTTCCCGGAAGTTCATGGAAGGATCAGATTCTTGAAAGTTCCGTTAGTTTCTCGAAGAACTTCTCTGAAGTCCCTTGAAATTCACTAAGGTTCTGTAAATTGCTCTGAAAATACCTTAGCTTCACTGAAATTTTGTAAACATCTCTAAAGAACCCTGAGCTTCTTTGAAGATCCTTAATCGTGTTTAAAGTTCCTTAAGCTTCAATCGTTTTTTTGTGAAATTCCCTGCAATTCCATGAACTGCTCTGAATTTTCGTAAACGGCTCGGAAGTTTTGTTTGCGTATCGGAAGTTCCTTAAACTTGTCGGAATTTCCGAGATTTTGTCGGAAAAGCAGTGAGCTTGTTGGAGGTTTCGTGAGAGAGAACTTCCGATAAGAAATTCAGTGAACTTCTAACGAGAAGCTTAAAGAAATTCCGAGGACAACTTCAAAGAACTTCCGACGAAAAAATCAGGGAACTTTCGACGTGAAGTTCTGAGAATTTCTAACGAGAAGTGTTCAGAGAACTTTTGACGAAAAGTTCAGAGAACTTCCGACGAGATGTTCATAGAATATCCAACAAGAAGTTCAGAGAACTTCCGAGCAGAATTTCAGAGAACTTCTGAAGATAAGTTCAGAGAAATTCCGAGGAGAAGTTCAGAGAACTTCCGAGGAGAAGTTCAGTGAGCTTCTTACGGAAAATTTTAAGAACTTCCAAAAAGAAATTCAGAGAATTTCTGATCAAAAAAAAATTCAAAGAATTCCCAAGTAGAGGTTCAGAGTACTTCCGAGGAGCAGAGCAGAGATCCAAAGGGAAGTCCAAAGAAGTTCCGAGAGGAAGCTCCGAACACTTCCGAAGTGAATCTCAGAGAAGGTCTCGAAACATCTAGTCGAAAGTTCTCTGAACCTATTCTTTTTTCTCTGGTTCGTTTACTTGGAAGGCTCAATCACGGTAGCTTCACGAAGCCGATAATTCATTGTTCATTGGTTTTAACAAAATTCACTTATTTCTATGCCTAGTAGGAGTTGGGCCGAATACTCGCGGCTTACCCGACGTTAGAGGGGTATATTGTTGAAGAATAGGATCAGAGGAGGAGCATGGGGGTGGGGTTTCGTTGTCTCATCAGAGTGTTATCGGCAGTATGGACGGTAGTGCGGTTCTAGATTCGGAACCTCTCCTTGAAAATTCTTTGATCTTTTCATCGGAAGTTCTCTGAACTTCTCGTCAGTAGTTCTATGAAACTCTCGTCGGAACATGTCGAAAGTTCCGTAAATTTGTCAGAAGTTTCGTGCACTTTTTAGACGATTCTTGAAGTTCTTAGAACTTCCGAGCAGAAGTTCAGATAACATCCCACTATAAATACATAGAACTTCAGAGACCGACGAGATGTTCAGAGAACTTCTGAGGATAGGTTCAAAGATTTTCCGACGAGAAATTCAGAGAAATTCCGAGGAGAAGTTCAGCCACTTTTGACAAAAAAATCCAAAGAGAAATATCAAAAAATTTCAAAAGAACTTCCGACGATAAGTTTTGAGAACTACCTAAGAGTGGTGTTTTATTTTCTTTGAACATTGTTAAGCAGTCATCAGAGCTGTTTTTCCAGTAATACGATACAGAGTCTACACATGGCACAATCACTTCAAATTTTCTAGAGCTCAAGTCTAAGATATTATTGCGACTTTGTGCTTTAAATTTGCTTTACCATATTTACTACACTGCAGCAAACGTTGTGAGGCATATTTCATCATTTAGTTTAGGTTTTCAGGTGGCTAATATTTATGTTCAGGAATATTCGAAGCGATAATGATCACCTTCAGAAAAAGGTTTCCAGACGTTTCACCTTCCCAAAAACCAAAACGATTTTTTTTTCTGGTCCAATAATTGAAAACGGCCTATCAGCCTTTGTAAACAAAAATTTGTAAGTCATTTTGGTGGCCATGGGATGCCTATGATTTGCGAGGAAAGGACTTTTGTTTACAAAAGCTGATAACAACGTTTGTTAGAGCAGTTTTGCCAGCGAGCAGAATACACGCTCACATAGACGCTCTCTACTAGACGATAGAGAATGGCTTTCGAAGTTTAATCCCAAATTCGGTAAGCACCAAGAGGGGTATTCAAATTTAATCTGTTTTTTTTTAATCTGGGTTAAATCGCATATTCTCCTCGATGGAGCTTACCACTATTAAAGAAGCAATTCGGGCCTACTTTTGCTATTTATCAACGCTGTTGTCAGTGGATTGCCGATTGCCGGCTTTTCTAACCTCGGGGTCTATTATCACCGTCACTTCACGTGAATGTCATTTGGGTTACTTTTTTATCTCTTGGAAATGAGTTACGTGACTGATGGTTATGAGCGTCACTTTTCTATAACTTGTTTTTTTTTTCAATTGGTAGTAAATTTTGAGAACTATCCCTCGACACATTTTATTCAAGAAATAATCCCATTAAGTTCAAAGTGTTTTTATGTTACTTCATACGCGAAGTTAGCGATTTTCAGAGTTCGTTGGAAATGCTATCATGAAGCTTTAGTGTGCGTATGAAGTAACATAAAAACACTTTGAATGTAACAACTCAAGGCGGGAGTAGCCGTCAACAATGCTGATGATGGTACAGCACGCAACAACCACCCTACTGCTTTCTCTCTGAGATGATCACGTTGGTCATGACGAGAGGAGCAACACAATAGTTGGGTAAAGAAGAACTGCATTATAACACACCATCGACTGGAAATGCTCTCGCAACGTGGGGCTTTAGGTAGTGATGAAACCGTCGCTAGAACTATTCCACAGTCGCAGTCAGTTTATGAGCAAAAGAGGGACGCACATTTTTTGCCTG